CCAGACTCGTTCGAAAATGCCGAAACAGCGTTCACCAAGACACGCGGATTGCAAAGTCAGAGGGGCGCAAAAGAAGTGGAATGGCGGAAGGCACATGTCCAATTCTTCGCAACCCCACCGGAACATCCAAGTAGTTCATATCATCGCTGATTGTGGAGAGTGCGACGAGAAGCGGCAGGAATTTGTCCGCGCTGAACTCGTCAAGGACACCTCGTAGCGCTCTCTCGACATCCACAAGCCTGTTCTCCTCCTGGTGACTGGTGAGCGGTCCGGCAAAAGATGATGAGCTCGGTGAGGCCGTCTGACGGTAACGTGTCTTGGAGGTTAACCTGGCGGCAATCCGCAACGCGCACGAAGGAATAGGGAGGGGTGCGTTTGCCGACTGTCAGCGTGGGGGGCAAAGTCTGGGTTTTGACGTCGTCTGCCTGCGACGTGATTATCGAGGGTGCGCGTAATGAATACCGAGGCCGGTGGTGAGCGCACACTGAACGTGCCTCACGCTCTGGAAATTGCGACGGCTTGCGAGACGACCAGCAGAACAGCGGGCGTACTCGAGCGGACCGGGCAGCGCGACGTCGGAACCATTATCCACCAGCTTGGCGCGCGCTTTGGCGCTGAAACCTTCGGCAAACCACTTGTCGAAGGGGATGAGTCCCTGAGCGGACCTGCGTCGTTCTGCTTGGTACTGTGGCACACAAATCACAGATTTATAATCAGAGAGCGAACCATAAGGTGCGTACGGTGTCAAGCAGTGCCGTCGGACTCCAACCTTTGACAACATAAGCGAGCTTGCACGCTGAACGATACTTCAATGGGAGCAACCAGCCCCGAGAGCGTGACAACCAAGCCAGCATTTGTGCGAACAACGACGGGTGCCAGAATTCCAAGATGAATAGATTGGGAGATTTTTGGAGATTTTTGTCAAGTTCAGCTTGATTTTGGCCCCAAAGTTTAGTAGTGCAGAGCGGCGTGACAATACCCAATAATTGCACCTTCTGGGGAGGCCTGTGATGCACGACGTCGTTTCCAGTCAAAACTCGTACAGCACTTTCCTCGTCTCACATCAGATGCTTTTAAAAAATGCAGTGGACATGCCACACCCGCTCGTCGTTCTGGATTGCACTACCGATCCCATCGAACGTCGCACCCCAATGGGACAGCGCAGAGCATGCGACGCTGGACCTGTATCCACTGCCGCGCGCCGCCCTACTCTCGCGCACCTCTCCCTCTGAGACGCAGCCCTGCGCCCGCCCGCCCGCCCGCCCGCCCGTCAGGCGGCCCCCGTTCTGGCCGGGCACGTCTCTCGGGCGCGTCCCCACGTCCGCTCTGCGCCTCGCTTGGGCACAGCCCTGGGCAATGACGCCCAGCGCGCGGCGCGGGGCTAGTATGTCCCTAACCGAGGACGAGAAGCAGCACGTCATCTGCGGCGCTGCGCGGATGCCGGATGGGCAGGGCGGTGCTGTTCGCGCGGGACGTTTGTCGCGCGTGGACAGTGGCAGCCGCAGCGTTTTCGCGCGCGGCCGAGGGGACTAAGGCGTGTGGAATGGCGAGAGGGGAAAGGGGGAAAAAGGCGTCGGGACAGACACGGTGCGGTGAGATGCGGCGCCACATTGTTTTCTCCCGTCCACAGATCACGTTCAGGCCCAGGTCCCGCCTCCAGCCCAAGCGGCCCATTACCGCGACCTACGCTCCTGCCTGACGCCAGCGTGGAGGCGCGCGGTCTCATGTGCGTTTCCTCGCCGCCCGTCGCCATGACGACGGAATCGCTCGTCGTAGCAACACTCCTGCTTTTCGTCCGCCGCTCGTTTGCCTCGTCTCGTCGTTCTTACTTTGCCTGCCCAAAGAGCTCGTCCATGGCCATTCAAGCGGCCGTTGGTGCCGTCCGCCCTGCTTCCCAGGGCGCTGCCCATGTCCACGATGCATAGATCTCGGCGGCGCCCACCTCTCCGGTCTGCGGCTGCCGTCTGTTCGCAGCCTGCTGGGCTTCGTCGGACACCTGCAGATCAGGCTGCTCGAGCTCGACAGCGTCGTCTTCCCCGAGGGGAGCCCCCCCGTCCCTCGGCATGACGTCCCACGGCCGCGCCCCTCGCTCCGCACCTTGCGGTACGACCACGGACACACCTTTTTCGACTGCACCCGCACGCTCACGAGCTTCCCGTTCCGGGTCAGGCTGTCCAACATCATCCTCTGCAGCCAGCGCTGTCCCCCGCTAGATGAGTGCACCGAGCAGCTGGTGGCGAAGTATCTCCAGCTCTTTGCGGTACTTCATCCGTCCCAGGGTGTTATCCCAAGGCTGCAGGTCATCTAATCGTGACTGTTTGCACGGCACGTATGTGAAACACTCGATCCTCTGTATTGTGCTGAGAGCTGAATCGACGCCAAACCCAGACCTACGCCTACTCCCTCCACCAAACCAGAACAGGGTCCGAATCCGTCACCGTCCGCATCCGCAAACTACACGCCTACGTCGGCACCGACACCCTCACCCTCACTTGCCCCGACGTCGACGTCGACACCCCCACCACCACGTCCTCGCTCCTCGCGCACCCAGAACCCGCGCTCGCCGCCATCGCCGCCACCTGTCCAAATCCCCCCGTGCTGCACCTCAAGTGCACGACCGCAGCCACGTGCCGCGCGCTAGTGCACGCCCTCCTCGACTCGCGCGCCCCCACACCCGCGCAGCTCCGTCCAGGGACGGCCTTCGTGCAGGTCGCCGCGCCGTACGGCCTGTTCGCCCTCAAAGAGATTGTCGACGCGACGACGACGACGGCGGTGGCGGTGGCGGTAGCGGCGGTAGTGGCGGCGGCGATGGTGGCGACGGTGGCGAAGGGGTCGTGACGCTCAGCACACTGCCCAGCGCACAGAGTGGGTGTTCCGCAGGCACCCGAAGGAGAGGGACGCGTACCTCCAGGAGCTGCTGCGCGCTGCTCGGGCGGAGAGGGCGGCGGTGGCAGTAGCGGCAGTGGCACGCGCAGGCGATGGGGCGAGGACCTCTGTGCGCTGCGCGGGGACTGAAAGATGACGGCGCGCGTGCGCGGGGCGAGCGGACGACGAAGAGGCGTGCTTAAGGAGACCAGAACGAA